ACTTCCATGAACTCAATGAGGTCCTGAATATAGGTGGCTAAGAAGAGGTAGGCATAGAGGAAGAACCATGGATCTGAGGCCTGTGACCATTGAGAATATTTTAAGCTAAGGTACCAAAATAAAGTGCTTTATTATCATCTCACAAATATGGTATATATGATGCTTTTGCTTGTATAATTAAGTTATTTTATATTATCAATATATATAACCTTAGATTTTATCTTCTACTACTTTACCATTTAAACTTTTGAGATGTGATGATGAATTTTTCATCAACCTTGAATATAGTCAAATTCTTCTAATGATTTTGCTTCATATATTTTTCATACTTTTTAAGAAATTCTAAAAAACTTAATAAAGGAAATGATTGCATTATGGTGAAGTGCATCTTTCAATCTTCTCCTTTAGTAAGCCAAGGACCAAAAGATATGTCAGAGAGTTAGTTTGCATAGTGATCAGGGGTTGATAGTTAGCTTAACTGATGCTATAGAAAAGAATTTGTCTGTTAGGTGGTTTGTGAGATGGACTAGCTAGTACAAGGGAGAACAAGCTTTCCTCTCTATCTTAGATGTGTTTGCTAATGTAAAATTGTTGATTGTCATGGGAGTGTTGATGGTTTCACAAGAGTTAACCATGTTTAGATTTGGGACTTATATAAATAACCATACAAAGGAATGACAATTGTATTTAATCTATGTATATTTGTTATCTTTATAATAATATAATTTCGTATAAGAAGGTAAAAGTATAAATGATATAAACCTTTGGAAAAAGAGATTTGCCATAAAAAAGAGCCAGTTGAGGAAGAAGACCATATATGGTTAGTGGAATACACCAACATCCCCATAATGCATAATACATGTAACAGAATCCTGCCACCATAGAAATCTTTCTGCATCCATATAAAAGAGGGCAATATCTAGAGAAACAAACTTGATAGAGACCCACAAACCATCTCTTGCTCTGACTTATTGCATCAACTAAACTCTTGGGTGCTTCTCCGAGAAAGGCTGGCCTGTCTGGGTTACAAAACACAGACCTCCATCCCTGGCAATGTAATCTGTAACAGGTGTAGTAGTCTTCCACTAGAGAACCATACCTGAACCCAATCTATAACCAGCAGGGTATTAATTATATATGAGCACAATATTATTATACATGGTAGAAATTAATAATAATGAATAGGAAATGTAATGCAGATTAAATAAATTCATATCGAAAATTGTTATCTATATAAAAGCTACTAAAAAAAACAAATGATGTATATATATATATATAACACAAATTTAGATTTTGTTTGGAATGAATTTTTTACTGCTTCTTAAAGCAATATTTTAGTATTAAAATTAAAATTTTGAACAGGAAAATTATTTTAAAAAGTAATAAAAAAATCATTCCAATGCAACAGAAGTCGATGAAAGTAACATGAAAATGAAGTATGTTATTTTGTACCAATTATAGGACTGTAATGAAAATAATAACTTGCAAGTGTTGTAATAAAAAAAATTTTGTTTTATAACTTTTATAAGAACTTAATTTTTTTTTTCAATAAAAAAAATTCTCTTCTTGATATATATATTTTGCTAGATATCATGCATTTGAAATTAAAAAGAAGCAAATAAATCTTGATTTCCTATTCAATTTCTGTATAAATTCAACTACAAAACAAGTACAAAATGATATATTTTATTAAAATTACAAGATAGTCAAATTCAATTTCTAGACAACAACTTTTGTAATTTTTGTATAAATATCTTATAATTTTGACATAATATATATTGCTTCTTTGAGTATGCACTTTAAAAATGAAATGAAATGAAACATACACTACACATACCTGAGAACCCCACTCTTTACGACCATGCTCATATTCAGAACTAGCTACTTCATGAGCTTTCAGCAAAATAAGCTCTGAGCTCAGCAAGCAACTATGTAATTTGAATTCATCAAAAGAAGGCATTGCCATCGGAGGAGAACTATAAAGTGATCCACGGGAGAAGAAGCAGCCGGTTCCAAGGTAGTTGGCACTTTGTAATCCATCTAAGCCTTGTTCACCGAGAGTAAATACCCGCCTGAACTCACCATTATAGATATCATTTTTGTTAAGTCCAGTAAATCTCTGTGGAAACTGGACGAAGGAAAGGTTTGGTGAAAAGTCCTTGTCTAGAAAGTAACAGAGAGCTCTTTTAGGTGCATAAGGATCGTTGGAACACATGTCACAATCTAAGGTGAGGATCAGCGGTGCGTTCGTCATGGTTTCGGAGACTCTAAGCTTTTGCATGCATGCAAAAAAGAAGAGTAGGCAGTGGCAAAGAAATTATATTCAGGATATATGATCAAATTTTTAATTTGATTGTAGGTAAGGTCATTAAATTTATTTTAAAATAAGTGTAATAATTAAGAAAAAATAAATTTATAATATATTTATTTCAAAATAGATTCAACAAAAAACTTTTATAGACTATCATCATAAATATTTTCTTAAAGAGGACAAATTTTTTTTTAATGATGCATATTTTGATTACTTTAAAAATATTATCAATATTTTTTAATAGATAACTATAATTCTAAACACTAAAGTTATGAAGGGGTGCAAGTTTCATATTTTATTAAAAATTTAAGAAAATAAAAATATATGATAAATAAAAACAACTTAAATTTTTAAATTTTGAAGGAATGTACTTACATATTTGATCAAAGAGGTAAAATAATTATTTTGGTCTTTTTATATGATCATCTTATGTTTAATTATGATCAATAAACTATTAATTTTGATTTGATCTAATCTTGCTTTTTCATAAAACACACACACATAAAAATTCTCAAAACAATTTTTATATTAGGAAGAAAAAAATGATCAGAAGGGAATGATAGTTGATGAAAATTAAAAATAAGAAAAAACTATTTTATTTTAGGAAAATAAATTAAATTTAAGTATTATTTTTAATACAAATTAGCTATCTTGTAGGTACTATAAGCATCTCTTCTATTTCTTTTTAAAGGATGGTTTTTAACTATTTATCATATATATTTTCAATGTAAAAATAATTTGAAAGCCTCCAACAGATTTATTTCAAAACAGAAAGGTTGTAATGATGACTAACGAGTGTATTGAGGGCTCCGGCCTTGAAGTTGTGAAGAGAAGCTGGGCGTTTCTCCCTAGAGATATAGATCAGATTTGGGAGGGGATGGCCAGTGATGTCCTTATCCTTCTTGCTTTCCAAGAGAACCTGGATTAAAATGATGATGATGATGTGCTTCAAGTTCCATGGTTCAAAATTTATAAAGTTTATGTTGAGCTTTTATCAATTCGCTTCTAATTGTAAAATTTTTGGATAAATAGATCATTTTTAATACTGAACAACTAGTAAAGCCATCTTAATGAGCAATTCTTAATAGTGACCAATATTTACAAGAAGCCATCTCATCCTTTAATGATAAATTGAATGTCAAAAACCTCCTCTTAATAGTGAACAAATCTACCAACTGTCATAATGAGCAATTCCTGCAAATGAAAGAGCACTATGTTGAACTAAGAACACAGTTTTGCTCATCCTTCACCTTACAAGAGGAATCTTATTGATAAAGTTGTTATTAACTAATCATTGGACAATCACACTTGATATATAGAGGATTAATTCTCACATCTCTATTAACTTAATGTAGATTGAGAGAATTGTTTACTAAAGTTCATTCATCCGGCCATCTTTCAATATCATACAAGGGTTCTGGAAGGTGGTGGAATTCTAGATAGTGTTCATGTAATTCTGGAGTTTTTTTTTTTGATGTGCTGAATGTCAATCTCAGCTTCAGGCTGTTGTTGGTGTTGGTCTTGCCGGCCTTGTTTTTACTTCCTTTTATGTAATTTATTCATTTTTGTTAGTAGATAGGGATATTTGGCTCTTAAGATCTTGTTTGCTTTTTTTGTTATGCTCGTTGAGCATTAGTGAGCTATCGATCCCTCTAAGCACTTGTAGTCAATTTTTTAATATAAATATGTGGCATACAAGTTTCCCAAAATAAATAATAATAATAAAATAAATAATAAATAATAAAAAAGGGTCTATCTAAAGAATATTTTCATTGCTTTGCTTTTTTTATTTCTACAATACTACTATTTGGCTACTGCATTGTTGTTTCTTCTCAAAAATTTTGATGGTGAGAATCGTTTTTTTATAATTAGACCTACTAGAGTACGATAACTATAAGAAAACTAATGTTAGAATGATTTAAAAGAGAAAAATTTAAAAATACATATAGTATTTTCAATTATGATTTTTTCCCATAAAAATAATCAACTATGTTATAAGTGGCAGCAACTATCCCATATTAGGGACCCTCAGTCTGCATCTCATATGCTTGTTTATCAAGCTTTATTGTTAAAAAAATGTTAAAATTTTTTTTTGGAAAAATGCTAAATAAGTCATTATACAAAACCTGGATTACTGAAGGATGGTCTTTACGAGTGAAGTTTTTCCATGTCTTGAAAATTTCCTTTTCCTCAAGAGAGTTCACTAAGTTGAGGTCAACATAACCTTTTTCCATAGCACAATCCACTCTTTCTTTAAGGCTTTCAAACATCACCTGAGACAAATAAGTATATGGTTTAGAAAGTTGGAGAAAATATCATAAGTAACAGGCAAATGCATATTTGTAAGAGTATAGTCTTATGGTTTAATATATAATATGAATAGCATATTTAATTAAGTTGGCTGAATGATTAATAATATATTTTAAGAAGATTTACGTACATAACATCTAAAATTAAGTTGGCCAACAAGCGGTGATCTCGAACGACCGGTGGATGGGTAGTAGTCTGGCAAAGGTCAGTGGATAGGAGGTGGTATGGAGACGGCCGGCGAACATGTTGTGGTATGATGACAGTTGGAGGGTGGGTTGTGGTCCGACAACGGTCGGCGAAAGGGTGGTAGTCCGGCGAAGATTGGTGTTCAGGCAACGGTCGACGAATGGGCGGTGGTCCAGTCGACGGAAGCGCAATGGTTGATGGAAGTTTGTTAGCGGTGGTGCATGGGTATAACTCTAAGATCTTTGAAACCTCAGAGCTCTCTCTAATCTTCAGCCAAAATGTCCCTTCATGAAGAGCAGATGTGCCAATTTATAAATTTTTGGGAGTGGCATGCTCCGTAAATACGAAGAAGAACCAAAATAATTATGGAGTGCTCCATCAAATGGCTCATATTGATTTCCTCTATCATAGAACATTCACTCAACATTTAGTTGCCTTAATGATGTCTAAATTAAGCGTTCTTAGGCTCGTTTGACTCATCTCATCACACCACTCGATTTGACTATAAGCCGGCTATATTTAGATATCATATGGTCATCCAATTTATACTTTGAACCTTTCGAATATGTTTCGGCCCTCCGATTTGGTCCCATATGGGCTTAGATTAGACCGATTTTGGTGTTGTTGGGTTCGTCTCTTCGAGACGTTTAGCTTGAATATAAGTTTGCTGAATTTGGAGTTTGGATGACCCCAAATTTTATTTTGAAATTTGACTATAAGCTCGGCTAGTTAAGTGGGCTTAAACGCCTAAAAGTTATGAATAGCGTTTGAGATTTTTTTATCCTCTAAAAATTAAAATTTTGTAATTTAATAGCAATAGAAACTCAGTCCTCGCTTTTTTGTTTCATCTGATCAATAATTATGCTCACCGTCACAACAAAAATAGTATTTTGGATGAGCGATCTCAGATTCCCTTTTCTTCTAATAAATTAAAATACTCTTTTGTCGTATTCAATTATATTGACTAAAAGAGCAGAAGAGGAGCGAGAAATTTATTCCAGCTCATTAAATATTAAAAAATTTTAATTGAAATATATTTAAATGATCAACTTTATCAAATGGGATTTTTAATAAAAAAGTGATACTTTAATATAATTTATGTTTTTCTTTTTAACATTTTTTTATATAAACACAACATTAATATTTTTAAAATACTTATATTTTGGAAAACTTTATCGCACCTATTATAATATATTTTTCTTAATTATATATTACATATGGTCAAGAGAATATTAATTCTATCATCGTAGAGAACAAAAAAAGCAAGTCGACGTACCTTCATTTTCTCTGCTTCAACATCGCAACCACTGGACTGGAAGTAAGCTTCAGGGGACCTCTCCATGACTCCATTCTCTCTGCAAAACGGCAGCCAACACCTAGCAAATTTAGCAGCTTCGAAGAAGGCAAAGAGCGTGAGGTCTGAACCTCCATCATCGGAAACATAGACAGATAAGCGATCGGAAGGATAGTCGAAGGCTAGAGCAGAAAGGGCGGTGCTCGCCACGCCCACCGGCGGCTCCTTATAAGGGTCGGTGGTGCAGATGAAGACGTCTAAAGCCGGAAAATCCTTGCTGGCTGTGACTTTAGAGAGTAGTTCGGGAAACTCCCAGCGGCGAACGGGGCGCCAGCGGAAGCCTTGGGATAGGAGCCACAGGAAGGCGAGGAAGACGTCGGCGAGGAGGAGGAGGAAGGAGGGGGTGGTGGTATGGTGGTGGAGGAGGAGGAGGAGGGATAAGGAGTAGAGAAGGAAGTGGAGGCGGTTTAAGGTGGTGCGGGGATGGATTTGGTGCGTGTGGAGTAAGGGAGCCATGGGAGGAGGAGGAGGAAGACTGAGTAATTGTATTGAGGGAGATAAGTTGGAGTTTTATTTGGATGGGAGAGGCTATATGTGTAATTATTTAAAGATGATAAATTATTGCATTAGGCTTAGGAAGTCAAGGTAAGCTAATCATTAATTATTTTGATATTTCTTCTTAATTATTAGAGGGCATATAATAGGGTATGATTGGTTAGTTATTTGTATTTAATAAATTTCCCTATTTAATAATGAGAATAAATATTAATAGATTATCTCTTAAAAAAATATTAAAATTAAATCTTGTAATATTAAAATTTCCAGCGACCACTTGTACGAGCCAATCAGATTATTATTTGGTCAAATAAGAAAGGCTAATGAAACAAATTGATGCATGCACTTGTATCATTCAAAGGAGTAATTTTTCCGTGAAGAGTCAGGACAGGAAGAACCGTCCGGACTATGAGTGCACATACTATGTACTAACTTATTATTTTAACTTTATATAGAGATCATATATTCATTTATTAATTGAGAAAATTTTTATATCTTTTGATTTCCATGTTTGCATGATTGAGAAATATTTGAGTAAATTAATTTCTTAAATTATTTAAGAAAGGTATGACCTAGTTAAAATTGATACGCATAAAATATTAATAAAAATAAATAAATAATATTATTCAGATACTTATTATGAAATAAGAACCATAGGATTCATATGCTGAAATAATATCTATTTGATTAGTTTGATGGAGTAATGACATGACAGGAGACAACTTGTTCGATATGTTTTTGTCTTTTATATATAAATAGGAAGTAAGATAGAAATTGATTTTAGGTCAAATCAATTCAGACAACTTAACTTTGCTAGATTAAATGATATTACTATCAATGTTTAAAAAATTGGATGAGACGGTCCGATTTGATCCTTTTCTTTAATCGACTCGCAGGAAGCAGGATCAGCTCGCCTCAAATTGGTAGTCCAACCATTAGACCAGATAACCGAAAACCGTTTAAAAAAAATGGCTTTCTCTAACTCTCCATGCTCGTCTCTGTTCCTAGCTCGATTCAGACTGCTCTACTCGACTAGCTTGTGATTGGCACCTGCAAGATCCCTTCTCCACCAACTTAGCCGAATAATTGTCGAATGCCAAGTGCGACAATAATGAGGAAGATCGTGAATCCGAGCAGGAATAGGCATTTGAGACTGATGAAAATGAAACAATGTCTGATTTTGAGGCCGACTTTGATCATGAACACAAGCTGAATCATGATTTCACGTTGAATCGAGATGATGATCGGCACGAAGAAGTTAGTATCTTTATCTGCAACGTCCCGTGTGTGGACGTTGGCATGTTCATGAAAGAGAGTTGAAATGGTTCAGAATTCAGTTGTCAATGTGAATGATTTGGGAATTATATATATAGCAAACAGGTGTGTAAAATCCTTAGATTAGCCATGGATAAGGTGTATGAAGATAAGACGAGAGATTCTCATACTTACTGAGAAATCAAATCCTATATATTTTTATTTTATGCTTTAATTATGACTACATCTATCAGTGGAAAAAATATAGAGCCAGTAGGTCACTAGATAATCCAAAACTATATTGAAAAGCTGTAGGTTATGTAGATAGGCCAGTTGATAAAGTTCTATGTTTGAGCCAACCAACTATATTTGGCCTTTGTACCCAAATATTATTTACAAAAGATTTTATTTATTCATATTTTATGCTTCATAATTATCTATTTTGTTTAATTTGTTGTCACATATTTCATATGATTATATCAATATTATATCAATTATGTTATTTTTAAATAAAATTCATATTTATTATGTAAACTGGCTCGGTTCAGACCCCAGAGAAACCATCGAACCGTAAACATCTCCTTAATCCAGTTCATTGTCCGGTCTGATTTTCACAACCTTGATTACTAATAGTATAAATTTTCAAGGTTGTTTTTAATGAAAAGCTTAATTAAATAAATAAACAAATTCATGTTTCTAGAGGTATATTTTTGTGTCATGGAACATTTGCGGTGGTAGAGAGATAAAGAGCTTATAAGCATCCTAGCTTTGAATTAAGATCTACCACACATATGGATAAAGAGAAAGGGGTGTAATAATCATACGATACATCATAATTTTTACGTGAAACCCCTTATAAAAGGAGGAAAACCACTGGATCTTGCTCAGTTGGAATGAATCCAATAGTGTTTATTGTTGGAAGAATCCAATGTTATGAGAGCTATTCTCAAGAGAATATTGTCTTTTTCATTTGGTTTGTAGGACCGTATTTGGGTGAATGAGGTCGAAGGGACTGTAGTTAGGGGGTGTTATTATTTGACCCAACTCGAAACTTGACTTGGACTCGACCCAAAAATTATGGATTCAGGTCAATCCCTTTGTCATACAGGTTGGTTTGGGTTCAATATTTTGACCCATTTACAAACTGGGTCGGATTCGATCTATCCCAAAAATCCAAAATCAACCCAAATTAAGTCGATACCATGTAGCATGATGGCCCCAATCTCGCGCTTACTACAAGCAACGCACTCGGACCTGCACCCACTTCCTCACCTTCGCGTCTAAAGTCCACACCGCTCACATATGAGGTCCCATCATCTAGCACACTCGCGTGCACTGCGCTGCTTCCCCTCACCCTCGCTCTTGCATCTGCACGGATCCCACTCGGACTCGCTTCATGCTCGCTGTGACGCCCCAAGATCTAACTTGGAAAGAATTTCAGTCAATTCATTAAAATCATTTACCATAGCTATCTATAGTCTTCAATCAATAACAGTCTAACAAAAATCTATAATTTAAAACATCAATGTACAGTTCTATTCATACCTCAAAAGATCATATACAATACTCAGGAGCTACACTATGAACACAACACAACACATGAACTGAAATCTATCCTGTCCTGAGTACAAAAGAATCACTAACCAAAAAAAACAAAAACCTGGAGATTCCTGATCAACCTCAATCTCCTGCTCCATTGACCTGACCTGAAAAATATTAACCACATATAATGAGCTTCAAAAAGCCCAGCAGGTCAACTAATACCTACAACTGAAATCAAAGCACGGTACTGAAAACAATATGCATGTCAGTCAAATGAATCCATAACAGTAAATTGCACATGATCAATGAATCTATGCAGATATGAAAATCAGTAGTCAATGCACAATCGATAAAATCCATAGTCAGCGATAGGAGAATCAATAAATAGTAGAAAAATCTATGCAGAAGAATCTCAATTAAATCGCTCAGTCAAATCAATCGTATCAAATCGAATCAATCAAAGCAATACTCTCTGGTCAATAAAATCGATAGGCATGAAATTATGTAAAACAATCAAATCAATATTTTGCAAGAACGGTTGAAGTCGAATCAATACAGTAAAACCTGATCCATATCAGCAATGGATCACATGCAGTAGTTCAATACGGTGTATCAATGAAGCGATAGTGTCAATGAATCAATATCAATAAATCAGTAGTATCCATATCCACAGCATCAATGAATCAATACAATATCCATATCAGTATCAGTATCAATGCTCAGTGACATAATGCGAATATCAATGAAACTGTACAGTAACAATAAATCCGTAAATCCGTCCATAAATCCATTCAAAATCAATAAATCCATCACGAGATCAACATGTCAATAACGTACACATGCACTTCAATACCATAGTCTTACTGAACAAGTACAATCACTGACTATTAAGGCGTTTTTCAATCCACAGTGCTGTTGTAAATCCATAATTATAGCTATCCGTTGGTTCAATAAGAGTCGTCACTCTGTGCCCGTCAGCATAAGAATCTCCTTATGCCTCCCAATCGTTATATCAATGCAATAGAGGATAACACCAAACCCTTTTTAAAGGAAAGCCCGTTGGCCCACCATCCTGTACAGGTCAAGTCAATCTCCAACCAACGGTTCAACCAGTCTTCACTTGTCTTTCAGTAACAATAACCATAGAGTAATCATATATTCACATTCTTATGCATATCAATTCAAATCATCAATTTCAGAAAATCGGAAATCGTACGAAAATCCAGCAGCATAACGGCAGTATACGGAATTTACACAAAAATCACAGAATTCACAAATTACCAAATCGTCCAGGACGATATGAACAAAATCCAATCGTCCAGGACGATAATTAATTTTTCTCGGACGATAAAAACCCTTACTCACTGTCTTTTGCCATGCACTGATCGTCCCAGGACGATCCCAAATCGGCCCGGACGATCCACCTCAAAAATCAGCTGTTTCACTGATCGTCCTGGACGATCTCAACATCGTCCCGGACGATCCTAGAAGGAAATCAAAGAAACGAGCTCTCACACTTGCAAGGCCGCATCGGCGCCCTTGCCCTCTATCGCGGTCTCAGTGCCTCACACCACGAAGGCTGCGCTTGCCTGCATGCGTGACATGCCCCTTCAACTTTCACCCGCATCGCTTGTACCTGGTGCGGGTTTTTGGTTGAGTTGGGTCAACCTGATGCGGGTCGGACCCGGGTTATAAATTCTAAACATTTACATAACTATGTAGGGTTAGGGTCAACCTATTTAGACCCAGGTCATTTCAGAGTTCGACCCAAACCCGACCCGAAAACTCATTTTGACACCCCTTATCATAGTCGACGGGCGATGGTGATTTGATTGTATAGTAGTCACTAGTCAGCACGTGAGGCTCTTCAGAAGGACCATAGTAGGTGAGTGATGATGGTTGGAGGGACCATATTTGATTGGCGACGGTGGTCGGAGGGATCGTAGTTGATGAGCGACGGGGGTCACGGGGGTCGTAGTTGACAGAAAACTATGATTGGAGGGGCTATAGTATGTGGATTTATGACAGTGGTCGATGACAATAGCGGTTGAAAGGACTGTTGTTGGTGGGTGACGGTGATCAGAGGGATAGTAGTTCGCGGGCAATGTAATTTATTTATATTTCAACAAATTACTTTGAATTGAATTAGTTGTGTTAGAATTCTTTCTGAAAGTCAAAATTGGATGAATAGATTAAATATGAAAGCTAAATGAAATAATGAACCTGAATCATTTTTTAAA